TTAACACCACACTCTACTTAAAACAAATCTTTAACTAACTTATTGTCATTTGGCAAACATTCAAAAGAAACTTTATTATCCCTGTGGGTCAGTTAGTGTTTGAGTGTTGCAGCCAGCAGAGAATAAATACACACACAGTAATAATAATAGAACACACAATGCAGTTGCACAGTGTTCAAAAAGGGAAGATGTTGTTAGTGAGGCCAACGGTCTCAGGGATGAGTTCTTACGTCTCTAAGTCTTGCATCTTGATTAGATTCTGTAAATCTACGAGCAGATGGCAGCAGCTTGTACGAAGCGGGGGTGGGGGGAGGGTGGGGGGTGACTATGTTGATTATTGTTCCCAGATATTTGATGGAAAACTTCAACAGCTCCTCAATGAATAAAACCAGAGGGTGGTGGCTACTTCCTGAAGTCGATTATCATGTCTTTAGTTTTGGACACTTTAACATTGAAGACAGAACATTGACACAAGTCGTTAAAATCCTCCACCACCAGGCCGTGATCAGTGTCATTGTCAGTGAGGGACACAATCACAGGGTCACTGTGACCTGATTAAAATGGATGTTTCACTGATTAATCATGTATTTAAGAGTTTCAGACACTATAGTTTGTTGTCTGGAAAAATATAAATGGGGATTATTAAATCCTCAGAAACGTTTAGACATGAGGAGACAGTCTCTGTCAGTTCATTCAAAGCGGAGCAGGCATCAATGAACAAATCCCAGTCAGTGCAAAGAAGTAATCCTGGATAGGATAAATATAACCTGCGGGATCATTTAATCCCCGTATGTGTCAGGTATCGTCCCCTGATCCTCTCCTGCACAGCAACATGAACCACAGATGACCTGCAGGACACAAAGGCCTCATGTCATCAGTCTGATCTCAGAAGAATTGAACTATAAAGAGCAGGTCGCTGCAGTGAGCTCTGTGTTCAACTGTGTTTGTTCAACTCTGATGTTGTGTGACATCATTTTCAGTCGAGCTGTGATGATGCATTTTATGAAACTTTGAGAAACGTTGTTAAAAACACAGAGACACCTCTAGTGGGCAGCACAATCCACAGTAAGTTTCTGAGTACAGTGACAAAAAACAAAACTTTAACAAACAACAACATTAAAAATAGATTGTGTCTGGTCTATCAATCAATATAACTTTATTCACACATAATGTTTCGTACATGACAGCAAATCTTTTCAGAAGACGAACAAGATAAAAAGGAAACACAAATATTAACAGTGAAACTAAAAGTGTGTGTGTGTTTGTCTCATGTAGGATGATGATAATATGATTGTAAATGAGATTACAGAGCTGTATATCACACACACACACACACACACACACACACACACACACACACACACACACACACACACCCTGCTGATGATACACAGTATTGTTCTGTTACATAATGATGGTGCACTGTCTCTCTCTCTTTGATGTTCAGTGACGATGGCAGAGCAAAGGGCCGGGGGCAGAGGAGCAATGCACCATGGGAAGGTCATAACGCTGCCGTCATGAGAGAGAAACACATCTATCTCTCTATCTATCTATCTATCTATCTCTCTATCTATCTATCTGTCTATCTATCTATCTATCTCTCTATCTATCTATCTATCTCTCTATCTATCTATCTATCTGTCTATCTATCTATCTATCTGTCTATCTATCTATCTATCTATCTATCTATCTATCCATCTATCCATCCATCCATCAACCCTAACCCTAACATAGATCATTCAGTCTGACTCAGGTTCATCATGTGATTAAAACCTACATTTAAAATAATTTGAACGAGAAACTTCGAGTGTTGACATGTTGTGCTGAAGAAAGCTGAAAAGTTAGTTGTTGATTTAAATGTATCAAATAAAATAGTTTAAACAAGCTGCAGAGTTCAGAATGAGCTGGAGACTCTTGTTTTCTATGCTTCTAAAGTGGAAAAGAGTTTTAGTTTCCTTGCTAATGTGAAATTCAAATCAGAGTCCAAGATAACGACTTCTCACGTCTAATTTAATCCAAGAAATTAGTTGACCCAGATTATTTTCTCTTTTTGGCCGACTAAGAAGATTTCTATTTTGTAAATTCTGTTAAACCCCTACTTGAAGAATGCTGTAGGTACAGGGTCAACACATGAGGAGACAGAGACAGTCTAACAAAGCTCATGCTAACAAACAGAGGCTTTCTCTCCTTCTTAAAAATAGAAAAGGGAAAAAGCAGAGAGCTAAGAAAAACCCGTCTGTACTGACAAACTGAAGTCTCCAGCACAAAGTATGAAGAAGCAGATACCTTTGAAAGAGATGAACGTTTTTGAAGAATTGAAAAAGTTGAACATTTCAAAAAGTATCAAAAGACGAATATTAGCAGCCGAGTCCTGAACGAGCTGAATGTTCTTACAACCTGGATCATTGAAATCATTAGAAAACTGTGGGAGTACAGAAGAAGAACATTTATAAATATTTTTAAAAACTGATTCAACGTTCCTACAATTATAGTTAAAACAAAGTGAAAAAACTTTGTTCTTCTGCACAATAACGTCATTAAAAGGACATCAGACCGTTTACATGTAGGAGGAAACACGGCGTGTGGACGAGTTGGTCTTGCTCAGAGGCACTGGGGCAGGTTGCCTCCATCAGAGGTAGTAGTCCTCCTCCTCAATGTCTCCGTGTGTGTCCTGGAAGCCGAGCGCCTGGATGTCGTGGGTGATGTCCGAGATGCGTCGGTTGAATTCCTGAGATCCTGAGGCCAGAGAGCAGTTGTCGTACCTGCTGAGAAAACGAGAAGCTGGTTTTTACAGGAAATTAAATATATTTCAAATTGTTCTGAGGCCAATGGACTCAACCTGGACGGGATCCGTATATTTCCTGAACCTGTAATTAAACACAATGGTATCATGACATCACCTGTTGTCACCTCTCACAGGAAGTTCTCACCCCTGACTGTCTGTCTGTCTGTCTGTCTGCCTGTCTGTCTGTCTGTTAGTCTGTCTTACTGTCTGTCTGTCTGCCTGTCTGTCTGTCTCTCTGTCTGTCTG